TATTTATTTATTTTGATAATTAAATATTTGTTTTATATAAATAGGACTATATTTACTATATATTCTTACATGCTACGTTTGGCTGGTGCAAAGCTGTAAATTCGAATGGTTGTGGTGGCCGGATTGGTGCAAGAGGATGAAAAGAAAGGTATAAGGTTGATTTTGTGAAGTTTATTGTGCAATGTTCTTTCTACAGAATGTTTTAATGACTAGACTACGTTTGCGTGGCAATTATGCTATCAAGGACACAAGACATAATATTAATTGTAGCAGTAAGAGGCATGTGGAAAGAAAACTCACGCATTGACCTGATTCATATTAATGGTTCGGAATTGTAATCAAGTGATGTTTTTGAATCTTCAACGACTACATTTAGGAGTGGTCCAATGGGTGCAGTTATAAGATTCCTAAACAAGTACGAGAAACTGTTGCCAGTTATAACAAATTGAATCATAGTGAAGGGTTTAGCCGTTTAGGACCAAGGATTACATAAATGCATAATCAAAGAGACAAAAAAAAAAAAAAAAAAAACAACAACAACACATGAAATTAGAGAGCAGAGAATGACTGATAATTTCCCTTGATTGTACATTTTTCTGCTAAGCACGTATGACTTATGATATTATATATATATATATATATATATATATATATATATATATATATATATATCCAAAGAATATATTATCTGTTTAAATCAAACTATCTGTTTGGATCGGTGTAAATGAAATGACCTACTTTTCTTATATGAAAAGGACACACATATATATAATTCCACTAGTCCTTGTTTCGAAGAAATATGTTGAGATTCTATGATAAGCCATGTGCTTACCCATAACATGAATCCGTGACAAGACAAGCTCCCTTTTTGTATGTGATCTATTCATGTTTTGAAAAATTAAATCAAACTATTTAAAGAGCACATGTTTTTTTTTTTTGTGTGGTTCATGTTATTAGTTGAGTTTCACATTTTTTATATATCCAGATAATTTTAGTATTTAGTTGTTATTGAATAAATGCATTTGTCGATAAATAATATAAGAGTACAAATTAAAGCATTTCAAAATATCATAGCAATAGGATCGTTGATAAGTAATAACTTGACTAAATATTTTGTTACCTAGGCAAAAGAAGAAGAAGAAATGATTTGGACAAGAAAAGAAATAATGAAGTTTGGAAAAAAAAAAAGGTAACTAGTTAAGAGTCAGCTGAAAATTCCTAAGATTCATGCAAAGAATTATCATTTAGGATATTTAGTTCTAATTAACATCTATATCGTAGCTCTAATTTAGAATTTAGTCACACGCCACAAAACCACTGAGAAATACATAATCCTTAAAAAAAAGGTTTAGGAACCCTTTTAAACAAGATTGATCTCCAATCTTCAGAGAATTGAACTCTCACACACAACGATTCCGAAAAGGTGTTCACAGGCTATGATAATATTGATGCTTATAAGTTTTGTAATCTTTTGATTATAAGTTTTGTAATCTTTTGATTATAAGTTTTGAGTAAAATATTTAAATCTTCATTCCAATTTTGAAATAATAAAAATTGGGTATATATGTCTCATGTGATGTGTAATCTTACAAGACAGTACTCTCCATATGCATTACACATTTTTTTAAAATAAAGTAAAATTTAAAAATACAAGTAAAAATAATTTAAATTTTAAAATAAATGCACTCAGCTATTTTAAATAAATAAGTGAAACATGGATGATTTAAAATTCTGAAAAATTAAACAAATAGAGAAATTTAGTCTAATAAAAAAAATTAATTTGGGTATATGAATTACTAAAAATCGAGAAAAAAATAAAATTTTAATACATATAAATTCAATACAAAATTTTTTTAAAAAAATTTATTTGAATATTTAAGATGATAAATTTTTAAATAAATTAAATACAAAGCACAATTGTTTACGTATATATATAATTATGAAAATTTAAGTTGAGGCTTTTTTTATGTTATACTTCTTAGTTAGCATAAAATAATTTTGTCTAATACTTTTAATTCAATCAACTAATTTGTTGATTTTTATTTCATTTTAAAAAAATTATTTTTTGATATTTAATCAATTTATCAGCTAATTTTGTCATACGTATGTGTTTTAAACTAATTTTACTTTAAAAAGTTTTAATTAATTTAAGGATATGTTTGAAAATATAATTTAAATAAAAGATTACTAAATGAAATATTTTATATGAGAACCTATTCTATAAAGTAAAATAAATAAATAATTGATGCAATTAAAATTATAAACTATTTTTATACACAACTTTAAAATAAACTTAAAAATTTTATTCTTAAAAACCTTATTAAAATAAAAAAAAGGTTATGAACTATTCTTATAAATTCTTTAAAAAAATCTCATAATTATTACAGACGATATAAGAACTGTACCAATCCTTTTACTTTCTATCTTACCAGTACCACGGTGGCTTCTTACTCTTTAGTGTTTTAGAGAGGTTTATCTTTATTCTCTCTTTCTTTTTACAAGATGGTACACAGAAAAAGCGTTAGAATTTTGTAAATTTAATTTTTAAGATTAAATTTAAGTATTTAAAAATATTTTTATAAAAAATAATCTATTTATTATATTAAAATTATATAAAAATATAATTAATTAATATTTTGAATAAAATTTTACTATTAAGTCTAAGAGTTAAAGTTAATATTTTTTATACTAATTAACGAGGTAATTCTTAGATCTAACATAATTTTAAAATTTAAATAGAGAACCATAAGTAACGTTCATTTAAAAGTTATAATCTATCTTAATTTGATAAACTATATAAAAATAGGAAAATATAGAAGAAAATGATTTATATTAAACTTTCACTTTTTTGTTCTCTTATAAAGTTGGAATAATTTATAGAAATGTCTTTTCTTTAATTCTTAGTTAATATTTCATGCTATAAAACTAAATGCACCTAAATTAGAAGTTGGCACTTAAAATATAATTTCAAATCTTCATGGTTCAAAGATTGATTGAAGTTCCTGTAATCTCTCCTCGCTGCCGACAAAGGGTTAAAAAGGAGAAGAAAACTTTTGCCATTTGTTTTCTTTCTGTATGTTTTTAAGTCGGTAAGAGCATTTTGCTTTACAAACCTCACAAGAAAGCAATTAAAAAGGCATAACTTGTTGGAAATTAATAAACCGTATAATTAAGTTAGCCAATAAAATAATAATTTACCATTCTTCTCCCTTTATTCTATATTATACAAAAATTGATAGATCTCATTTTAGAAAAGGTGTATGCACGAATTCTAATGCAGCTACTATTGAATTACAGTATATTATAATTGTATGATCAATACAATTACAAAAGTTTATAGATTCCCCATTATTATATTTTCAATGTTTGGTTACATTATCCATTATTACATTTAATTCATGAAAGAAATATATATATATATATATATATATATATATATTGTTAATTTTAAATAAAAAACATAAAGTAAATGAAACAAATTTTATTTTAAATATCTATCACTAAACGGTATAATTAAAATATATAAGTTATGTATCTATGTATACTTATATGTTTATTTTTTTCACTCTTATAAAAAAGATACATTTCTACACACTCGTACATTAATAAATTTATTTCTTAACATACAAAATTAAATTATTAGTATATATTTATAATATTTATTGTGGAGCATATGAATTGATTGATAAAATATTAATTCAGTTTAATCTATAACTTTATATTTAAATTCTATTTAAATATTTGAAAGAGAGTTTGTTCAACTTAAATAAGATTGTTTTTAATAAAAAATATATAGTTTTAAAAAACAGTATTTATATTAATAAATATTTTTGCTAAAATATTAATAATTTTTTATTAAATAAATATTATATCAATAAAATTTAATACCATGCCAAAACATTGTGTTTTTTTTTTTGGTGCGTGATCTAATATAATTTAAAAGACTGAGTAAAACGAATAAGAGTGTTTTAAATATTATTGTTAAATAGAAATTTTATCTTTAATGCATGATAATATTTGGAGAAAATAATTCCTTACTTATTTGGTGAAAGGATAATCTAGAAAACAAAACAAAAGAAAGATACGAATTTGGATAATTTTAACAAAATACAGAAAAAAACTCTTCTTGTAAGTAATAATTAACAAAGTAATAAACACTTATTTGAACACGTGATGTAACGGTTCGAGTCGCCGACTTTTTAGAAATGAAATATTGAAAGCAATGAAAATTTAATTGAACATATCACACAGTAGCCTTTAACTGTAAACGGCCGCTAACGGTGTTGTACAGAAGATTACGTATTCTGTATTTATAATTTATAAATGAGTAAACACTGCTCTAAAGATTAAAGATTGACAATACTTTAAAACAAATAAAAATATTTAAGTAACATATAATTAAAAATAATTTTAATAAAAATTTATTATATCTGTGTATAAAAGAATTATTATATTTTTATTTTTATTATGTGTTATATATATATATATATATATATATATATATATAAGTAAATTTTCGTAACAATGTTAATTTAAAATAATTGTTTATCAACAAACTATTTTAAAATAAATTTTTTATTATCTTTAATTCTTTAGAATTAGTTTGAATATTTTAAAATAATATTTTTATTAAACAATAAAATATTTATTAAATTTTATATTTTTATAAAATTATAATTTTTTAATAATTATTATTAAAACAGATCAATTGTTAAGATATATTCATTGGTCTAGACATGAGTCCTAACATTTTCCTTGATTAAACCCTAATTACCAAGATATTAATTGAAGTGAGACATTTATTATTATTTTCCTCTCCCACTTTCCTTTTACTTCTTTCTCCATCCATGTCTGATACCGCAATCTCTCTCTCTCTCTCTCTCCGTGTCCACCGTCCACTTCCTTCAGCCATCTTGTACTCTCTCTACTTCTCTATAAAAGCAAAGCCAACTAGCCATAAACTGTTCCCACTCTCTCATCAAACACACACTTACCTTTTTCATCCATGGCTGACCCCTACTCTAATTTCTTCTCTTCCTCAACTTTCTTTCAATTCCATCACCATTTTCCATCTTCCAACCCTTCTCCACACACTCCACACAGTCCTTATGTCCATCACAACTTCATCAACCACACCAAAAGCAACGACACCACCTTTTTACACTATCACAATCTCCACCACCACCACCACAGTAACACTACTACTACTACCACTTTTTCTTCTTCTTTTCCTCCTTCCCCTCCTCTTAGAGAAGAACTACCCCTCTTGAGGTTGAGCCCAGCAAAGCAAGAGGAGGAAGAGCAAGAACAAGAGGACATGTCTTGCACTGCAGTCATGGACATGGAGGACAGGATCCAACTCAAAGAGGAAGATGATGATGAAGAACATGGCACTGTCACTGTTGCACTTCACATAGGGTTGCCAAGCCCTAGTGCTGCTGAGATGGCTTCTGTGCTTTCATCTTCCTCAGAGATCACAGATAAAGAACATGGAGATGGTGGTGAGGATTCTTCTGCAGGGTTCATGGTCAACAGGCTCAACAAGGGCCAATATTGGATCCCTACTCCTTCTCAGATTCTCATTGGTCCTACTCAGTTCTCTTGCCCTGTTTGCTGCAAAACTTTCAACAGATACAACAACATGCAGGTACCTACATCAAGGACCGTGACACCCTCTAATTCTTCTTTCTTCTTCCCACTTCCTTTCCAACTCTCAAAGTGAATTTTTTTTCCTTTGCTTCTTCTTCCCCTTTCTGTCTATAACTTTCTTCCCTGATTTGAACTGCTAACGCTTCCTTGATGCTTCGATGGAAAGAGGAAAAGCTTGGATATTAATCTATGCTACATGTCTTCTACTTTTTTTTCTTCCTTTCTTTTCCTTTCCTCTTCTATTTATAATATATTTTACCCCTTTTTCCCAGGGTTATAACATTCCTCTCATCTACTCATTATTTTATTTTATTTCTTTTGGTGGGGGTGGGGGTGGGGAGGGGTATTGCATGGTAAGCTGGTTGGTATTTGGCTAAATAATCAACAATTTTTTTTTCCTGATTCGGACTGAGACTGGGATCAGTACCTTACCACCTTTCCTTTTCCTTGATTAAACAACTCAAGCAATGTTCCTTATGCCTTCAGTACATTGAAGTCTGTGCTAGCTAGCTTCCTTATACTGAAAATTTTGCAGAGTTTCTTCCAGATCGCTCAGATAATTACACCAAATTCGTTTCTCTCTGTGGCCCTTTGGTCTGAATCCAAACATGTTCCCAACCTAAAAGCCCCATACATGGGAACATAGGTAGCCTACATAACTTCCTCTTTTTTCCTTTAGCTTCCTTCTTTACCATTGCAGATATGTTGAAAACAGAAGTCATCAAAATTTAATTAAATTTTCTGTTTACGAAGATAGCCTTTTTGTTCCTTAGACTAACTGAGTATATATATAGCCTTTTTGTTCATTAATTCTTATCACCTTCGTGATTATATATATTAATATCATGCTACAAAATTGAGTATATGTGGTACAAATCATTTGTAAGATTTACTTTGAGAAGCTATAGTTGATCCCCCCCCCCCCCCCTTTTGTGTTTAACTTTCACTGTGGGTATAACAGCTTCTGAACACTTTGCTTTGTTTGCTTTATCGTAACTTTTTTTGGGGTGTTCGTAATTTTTTTTTATATATTTTACGGTTTTCAGATGCATATGTGGGGGCATGGATCACAGTACAGAAAAGGGCCTGAATCTCTAAGGGGTACCCAACCAACAGGCATGTTGAGGCTTCCTTGTTATTGTTGTGCCCCAGGGTGCAGAAACAACATTGATCACCCAAGAGCAAAGCCCCTCAAAGATTTTAGAACACTTCAAACGCATTACAAGAGGAAGCATGGGATTAAGCCCTTTATGTGTAGAAAATGCGGTAAGGCTTTTGCTGTGAGGGGAGATTGGAGAACCCATGAGAAGAACTGTGGCAAGCTTTGGTACTGTATCTGTGGCTCGGATTTCAAGCACAAGAGGTCTCTTAAAGATCATATTAAAGCTTTTGGAAGTGGCCATGCAGCTTATGGAATCGACGGTTTCGAAGAAGATGATGAGCCTGCATCCGAAGTGGAGCAAGATAATGATTCCACCCAGTAATGATTGCATGAGTTTATATATGTGAATTATCTTAGTTATTTTGTGAGATGATTGGGGATGAATATAAAACCATGGCTTCTTATTTCAGAACTATATATAAGCACCAAGTTTAAATGAAAAGCAACCTTTCTTTTCTTTCTTTCTTCTGTTGGCAATATTAGCTAGCTAGGAGATTGGATACAAAACAAATGCATATGCTCCTAACTGTTAAGGCCAGATATATTTCCAACTTTGTTGAATATGTTTTCGTGTATAAGACACCTTCCCCTTCTCTTGTTAAGATGATTAAGAGACATTAATTGAAGATGAATTAGTATTATCTTAATTGTTTTATTCCAACTAAGGCAAAAGCATAGCTTAAGCTAATTGATTGATACCAAGCTAATGATAAAGTAGCGCCTCTAGTAATATTTAAATTAAATTATTCCATATTTTTCATACATAATACAATGTGGGTTCATTTTGCCGAGCTATCAACAGCTGGATTCACTGGATATTTACATTTATTTTATCAGATATATAACCATGCTTTAAATTTATATGCTGTTGTATCGTACTCTTAGATGTGTGTATTATTCTGTAGGAATACAACATGCACTCTTGTACTCCTTTTTTTTTTTTTTTTTGCACCGATTTATTATGCATGTCAAACTTTGGTTTTAAATTGTGATATGTAGTTACTGTTGTGGCCGCAATATTACAATTTTTAAAGTCTTTGGAAAAACCGTACCACGATTACAGTTGCGGTTGTAGTGTTAACATTTATTCACAATCTTTTGCAATTTCAATAATCACAACGCATCTATCACCGTGACCGCCAATCCTTTGAAAAAGCGGTCAAGATGAAGAAAAGCCTTTTTCTTCCTCTCTCTCTCAAGTCCTGAACTACACATTAGCCTCTTAAAAATTTGAGGATAATGATGCATGTGCATGGGGAAATATATATACATCTGTGGGGCATGTCATAGATATTTAGGCATTGATAACATGCTTTCATTACGAATTAATACACAATTTGTCTGGGGGAAAGACACATTAAGATAAAGTGATAGCGAATAAAAGGGTGTGGGTTTAAGCTCTATCTATATGGCACAAGGGAGGGATGGAGAGTATATTATGGTTAATTGTAGCTCATTAGATAGCCTTTTCACGCTGTGAAACTGAAATATACGTCAGCTTTTTGTTGGGGTGGTGCATATGATGCCCTTTTGCTTTGGGTAGTGGAGAAGATGTGTTTGTTGATAGATGGAACATATACCATTTCAGATTCACCCTTGCTTGGAAAATTCAAAGCAAATGATTAGCTTTTTAAGAGAAATACATATTATAAAGGAGGATATCAAAAGATATATAGGTAGGATGGGTGATATCATAATGGTCCCAGTCTGAAGTTTGCAAGGTATGAGGGTACTGCAATGAAGTGGATCTCATTTGCAGCTTTGGGTAGAGAGAGAGAGAGAGAGAGAGCTGAAAACTGCAAGACTGTGGAGCCCAAGTTGTGTTGGTTGGGCTGATTGGTAACATATACTGATGCCCCCTACAGTGCATACACAAACCCTCTTCCTTCTGATGGATAAACTGTAGACTGAAACGACCTTTCAGCAATTTTTGACCTCTTTTCTGTGCTGTAATTGAGGTAAAACCTTCTATCCATGTGGTACGTACACGAATACGTGATGTACAATTGACAGCAATGTGAATGAGAAAATTAAGCCTACAAGAAAAAACAATTCAAACGTCTTCTGCATGGTTGCTAGTTGCCACTTTACTTAGCTGCCTAAATTACCCTGTGTCTTCACAACAATGGTCAACGTTATACTATTAGTCTTTTAAGGGAATTAGTTAAAAATATAAATAAATTCTATTAAAATTTATTATAATGAAAATATGAATATTATTGAAATTTTTGTTAATTGGAAAAGTCATTTAATACTTATTACTTAAAACATTTGATAAGTTTTCTTTTGTGTGTGTATATATAATAATCATGGCCTAATTGGGTTTTCAAAATTAAGCGAGACAAAACTTAAAGATAGTGTTATCCAATTAAAGCATGTATTTTATTTTCGTAACTATATATGATAAAATAAAATTTTAACATTGATAAGAGAAAAATAACAATTGTATTGAAGTTTTGTGTAATTAATTGTAATATTACTTATTGCAATTATTATTATTCTCTTCGTATAACGTGAAAGAATCATTTCTCAAAACTAACCCACCTGTCCAATGTTAGATGACGGGCATGTGGGGTTACTAATTCCTTTGTGACGATGAGAAACGGAGGCAAGAGATGAAACTCAACAGCAAACTGTAATTAAAGCATTTATTGACAATCAATATCCCACCCCTTTGTTGTGTGGATACCAACCCTACCACTATATTGACCCATTGGGACTCTCCTAGCTCTCTCTTAAGACTCTGGTTTGTAACATCTCTCACCATCATCTTTTTTGTGTAGCATTTGTGCTTTTATGGGAAGTCCCTTTCGCAAAACCACCCATACCCCCAATATGCCCTGCAGTGTGATTACGCACAAGGTCACATATACGTGCGATCGACAATAATCATCACTTCAATTTATTTTTTAAAAGCACGTAGAATAATTAAAAGGTTAACACTAAAAAGGGGCTAAAAAAGATAATAAGTACGTCACGTATGTATAAATTCATGCATGTACATGCATCATTTTATATTTTTGAAAATAATAGTCAACAATTCTTCCCCTTAGTTAATACTAGAAACGATCTATACCACTCTATCTACAGGTTATAATCCCAATATTCTGTTTTTTTTATAAAAATTAATTACATCTCTTCTTTCTACCCATAAAATATGGAAATTAAATAATAATTGATTTAATAAGAACAGGGTTGGGAGAGCTAGTTCTGCAGCTCCATGATATACCGTGCCATGATCATGTAAAGGAGACCAAACAACCCAACACGCAAGAATATGTTATATGTGGTATTCTCCTTTTGCATTCATATTCCAATACAGTAGGGACAGCTTTGTCTCCCTTGGCTCGAATAACTAGCTCTTTATGTGATATACATATACATATATATATATATATATATATATATATATATATATATATTTATATTATAAAAGAAAAATTCCACGCCTATAAGTATAATGTAAGAAACTTATACGGTATTTATGCATACAAGCTGAGGTTTTCAAATTATACTATAGATCGTGGAGTTTTTCATTTTCATAACAATGTAAATCAAAAAATGATAACCCCCTCATCCCTCTCTCTACAATTTTTATTTAAAATAAATTATTTATTGTATATTTTATATTTTTATATAAAAATGTATTATTTAAATACTTAAATTCAGTTTCAAAGAATAAAATTAATGTCCGTTCTAAAAGTAAGAACATGAATACCTGACATGATTTTTTTGTTAATTTATATTATTCCTTTATCAGGATAATCCTGCAATTACAATAAAATAAAAATGTTTTTATTTCTAAAAGTAAGAACAATCCCTCTTTTATAAAAAATATAATGTGAAAAAAATGTATCACGTCCTACTTAATGAAAATATTACAAGAGAGTGTACTATAATAACATTTTTTATTCTTTAAAGGACAAAGTTTTGAAATTTTTAGGTGCATATTCAAATACAACACTTTTTTAAATTTGATAAAAAAAATTTAAAAAATTTTATTTACTTGTTCACAAGAGTATTAAGAATATACTTTTTTTTTAACACATTTTAAATTATTAATTAAAATTATTAAATTTTGAATGGTAACAATTAAATAAAATGTGAAATCTATATTATTTTTGTAATTTTTAATAAATTTTAATAAATAACTAAGAGTATGTTAAACAATGTATTATCATATTAATTTCTTTATTCATGAAATGTTAATCTCTTCATTTCTTGGACTATTTTTCCACTCGATAAGTAAAATGTTAAGGATAAAATTCAAATGCAATGATTAAAGTTCTGTTAGTTTTATTTATTAATTAAATTTAGAGTTTTATCTTTATAATATGTAATAAAATTAAATATAAATATTTTATTAAATACATTTTAATTTATTGATAAAAATTATTAATAAGACCTATAAAAAATTACCTAATTTTTTTTTTCCAAATGTTAATCACTCTCGTTATGGTGAAGTGTCAAAGGCATGGACTCTTCCTAATTATATTTTTTATGCGCGTGAATCCTAAGAGATAATATAAGTATCTAATAGTAAATAGAATAAAATAACATAAGATGAAACAAAACTGTGTAAATTAGAAAGTCACTAAGCAAAGTTTTTTCGCCATTTAGATATTATGATAAAACAGAAAGAAAAAAAAACGATTTCATCCCAAATTAGAGGGGAAAGCAAAACAAAAGAAAAATAAATTCTTTTTTATTTCATTTTATTCTACTTTATGTTTTAAATAATGTAAATGTTAGAACCTGGCTTCACTCTCCTCCCTCCTATTCCTCTTTCATCAATCAAGAAAATTAAACGTGCAAGAAAGATGTTAATATAACTAAACGACAGACATAACTAGAAAGTATCTTCTATAGTGTATGAATATTTTTATATTTACGTAAAATATAAAGAAAATTTAAAATTAAAAGAGAAATATGCGTAATTCATTTAAAATTTAAGTAAACATTGTTTAAATTTTTGGAGAAAGAATAATTAAATTTAGAAATAAATGATTTGAGAGTAAATAAAATAAATATTTAACATCAAAAAATATTATGAAAATAAAAGTAATTCGTTTAATAAAATTGGAAAATAAGTAATGAAAATATTGGCATTTGATTAAAAATTAGCATAAAATTGAAACTAATTAATCAGTTGAAATTTCAGAATTATGGGAAAAAAAAGTTAAAAATTAATTGTATATGTAAGAATTAAAAATATAAAAATAAGTGCTAAATAATAATTACATGATATGTCAAGAAAAGAAAGAAAGTACGGCATAGCAATATCATTGAACTATAGAGACTCAAATTATAATATAAAAATGAATCATACCATTAAATTATAAGATTATATATTTGAATATAAAAAAATTAAGTATGAAATATTTTATAAATAAATTAGGAAAGGAGTCGTTCAAGACCGATCATTTCCACATTAGACTATATCCCTGTTTAATATTTTGTTTGAATGAAATAAAAATAGAGAAGGAAGAAAAAAGTGAAAAAAAATGTTATTTAAATGAAAAAATAAAAAATAAAAATGTTTTTCTTCAG